CTTATGTATTATGGTACTTCTATGTTGGCTGCATATATATTTACAGTCATTATGTCTTTCCATTTGGATTGATCTTTTGATCACTATGTAGTGTCCTTCTTTATCTCTCATTAACAGCCTTTATTTTCAAGCCTACTTTGTCTGATGTAAGTATTGCTACTCTGGCTTTCTTTTTATTTCCATTTGCATAGAATACCTTTTCCCATCCCTTTATTTTCACTCTGTACGTATCTTTAGATTTAAAGTGAGTCTCTTGTAGGCAGCATATATATGGGTCCTTTTTTTCTATCCATTCAGCTAGTCTGTGTGTTTTGGTTGGAGCATTTAGCCCATTTACATTTAAGGTAATGTAGTGGAAATCACTGCCACCAAACAGAAAAGAGGATGAAAAGAAATGAGGACAGTTTAAGATACCTCTGGGAGAAAATCAAGCACACTACTATTCACATTGTGGGGATTTCAGAAGAAGGAAAGAGAGAAAGGGACTGAGAAAAAATTTAAAGAGATAATAGCTAAAAAGATCCCTAACCTAGGAAAAGAAATAGGTACCCAAGTCCAGGAAGCACAGAGAGTCCCAGGCAGGATAAACCCAAGGAGAAACACACCAAGACACACTGTAATCAAAATGACAAAAATTAAAGCCAGAATATGAAAAGCAGCAAGGGAGAAGAAATAATACACAAGGGAACTCCCAAAAGGCTATCAGCTGATTTTTCAGCAGGAACTCTGAAGGCCAGAAAGGGAGTGGCATGATATATTTAAAGTGATCAAAGGGGAAAACCTACAACCAGGAATACTCTACTCAGCAAGGCTCTTGTTCAGGTTTGATGGAGAAATCAAAAGCTAAAAGGAATCAGCACCAACCAACCAGCTTTATGACAGATGTTGAAGGCACTTCTCTAGGTGAGAAAGAAAAGGCCATAACTAGAAACAAGAAGATGACAAAATGGAAAATCTCACTGGTAGAAGCAAACGTACCAGAAAGGTAGGAAATCATCTACACACAAAGTTAGTAGGGAGGTTAGAAGACAAAAGTAGTAAAATCATCTGTATCCATAATAAGCAGTTAAAGTGAAAGAAAGTGAAATCACCCAGTCGTGTCCAACTCTTTGTGACACCATGCTTTACCATCTAGGGGCTTCCCTGTTGGCTCAGAGGTTAAAGCATCTGCCTCCAATGCGGGAGATCTGGGTTCGATCCCTGGGTCGGGAAGATCCCCTGGAGAAGGAAATGGTAACCCACTCCAATATTGTTGCCTGGAGAATCCCATGGACGGAGGAGCCTGGTAGGCTGCAGTCCACAGGGTCGCAAAGAGTCAAACACGACTGAGTGACTTCACTTTCTTTACCATCTGAGCCACCAGGGAATTCTTTAGCAGTTAAGGGGTACACAAAACAATCAGACATAAAATATGACATCAAAAACAGTACTCATGAGGGGAGGTGAGTACAAACGCAGGGTCTTTAAAATGCATTTGAAATTAAAAGATCAGCAACTTAGGGGCTTCCCTGGTGGCTCAGCTGGTAAAGAATCTGCCTGCAATTAAGGAGACCTGGGTTTGATCCCTGGGTTGGGAAGATCCCCTGGAGAAGGGACGAACTACCCACTCCAGTATTCTGGCCTGGAGAATCTCACAGGATTCTGTATAGTCCACGGGGTCACAAAGAGTTGGACACAACTGAGCGACTTTCACTTTTTTAGGGCTTCCCTGATATATGTATGTGATAGAACAATAACATATAGATATATATAGATTGTTGTACAAAAACCTCATGGTAACTGCAAAACAAAAATCTGTAATAGATATACACACAAAAAAGATGAATCCAAACACATCACTAAAGATAGATAGCTGTCAAATCACAAGAGAACAAAAGAAGAGGCAAAAAAGACCTACAAAAACAAATTCAAAGCAATTAACAAAATGGCCATAGGAACATACATATGGGGCATTCTGATCAGGCTTCATTTCTCCTGACCACCGCCCCCACCTCCCACTTTATTCACATGTGCTGTATGGTGGGTCATTAAGCCAGGCAAAGGGGCAAACCTTGCTGTTCTCCAAACCCTGTCAGAGGAGACTGGTCAACTGCTGAATAACAGTGCAGCAGGCACCGTAGAACCAGAAATGCCCGTGGCCTTGACAGTGTAACCAGAGTCACAATATTTGATAACAACACGCAGGTGAAAGTAACATGATAACCAGTAAGAATATTAGCTCCTCTGTGAAGGACGGTCGTTTGCAACTTGTTCTGTTTGCTTGTTTCTTTTCTTATAATTGGCCTCAGTTCTGAAATAACCATACCCAGGGGTGGCAGGACAGCACCTCTGCTAGCAGAATTTTGAGCTCTCAATGCCTAGTATGGTAATGCAAAAAACTCCACTCTCTATGTACAATACCTGTGCTGAAAAGATATTGATTACTTAAAGACCCTTTCTCCTCTGTGTGCTCAGGCCTCTCTACTGTATTATACATAAGCTTTTAAAACACTTACTGGCTTATTACACTTTATATGTATTATGCAAATTGACACAAACAGTGACAGTGAAAGATGTTACAGTGGCAATGTTCTTTAAAGCGTTAAGATTTTAAGGTTTTGAATATAATGAGAACCACCAGGCTGAACACAAAACAATGTTTATATTACAGTAATTTTCTGATTTTGAATGTCATGAAGGGCAGTTTTGTTTATACACAGACAAGAATGTATCAGCAAGAAGTGATCATGTCCTTCTGTATTCTCTGTCTCTATGAATTTTAATTCCTTTGGAGATTGTCCAGGTAAAGATTACTTGCTAATTACCTCAATTTATTATTCATCCAAGGTCTCAAAGTCAATGGATTAGGGAATCTTAGAAATTATAATGGGTCAAGATAGAAGAAAACTACGCTCACAGTTCATGAATGAGAATCACTCACTGTACAATATGGAGTAGCTTTGTAGGGTTACATAATTACTGCTATTGTTGGAAATTTAAAAGGATCAGTTGCAAAAAAACACATTAGTTTAACTCAATTAAGTTCAACTCATGTGCTTACATTTACATAACCATAGCTATTTAGTCTAATAAGTCCTAATATATTTGATCTATAGGATAACTCTCAGGAGTTTAGGAAGTTACATTTAATAGTTTCTTGTAAAAAATTAATAAATACATCTCAAATCTTGCAAAAATCCAAACATAGTATTTTCATGGTATTTTATATTGTGATAAAATTAGGGAGAAGACAGAGCTATCTTTTAAATGAAAATTAAAAAAACAATTTATTCAAGGATTTACTTTGCATAGAAATATTGAAGGAGCTAGGAGTTTGATACTATTCCCTTGGATTTATTTTATCAAGTGGAGTACAAGTAAGGTCATGACTTGATACGTGGGTCCAAACATTTTAATCAGAAGATTAAACCAGGGTTGTGTCATTTGGAGATGAATGCAGTGACTGGGGCCTTTGCAACCTGAGGCCACCCAGTTAAATGGCCTTAGAATCCCATGACTGGTGGGAACTTGAGAGGACTCCCAAGTGTTGGAGCCTGGTCATTGCCCCTGGAGGTGTGTGGAGCAGGCAAACCTCTTGGATTTCCCATTCTGATTTGGCTCGAAGGTCACTGCCCTGTTTATCTCTCTTGTGTTGTTAAAGCCCTTGACATATTGGTAAGTGTGTTTAATATGGAAGGGGTTCCTGAAGCTTCTTGGTCTCTGTTATCATTTGGCCTGATAACAATATGTGTTTCCTTTCCCTTATCCTGTAACTTAGCAACCAGGATATTTCAACAATTACAGAAAAAAAAAATCCAGTTTTCCATTTTCTCTCCTCCAAAAACTTTTTTATAGAGAGAAAGTGCATATTGAGGAAACCCTACTGCTTAGACTTTTACTATAAGAGCCTAGTTGGTTTTATATGGTTAGGTATAGATTTTGACAACTTATTAGAATATAATAACTTCAAATTCTATGATCTTAGTGATTAATGTTTCTCTTTTGCTTTTGGAGCATTTAGAAATTATCTTTGTGCACAGAAAAAAAACATGATGCGGTGTGGTCCCCACAAGATCAACTTCTTGAATTCACTTAAGGATCTGAATAGGTTTATCGACCAGAAATGCCAACAAATTACACACTTCAAACAGTTGGCTACTACCACAAAACAACAAAAACCCGCAAAATTCTGTTGTTGTTGTATGATCACTTCAACTTGAGGGAACGGTGTTATCTTTTTCTCACTTCATTTTGGCTGCACACTCTGATCGCATCTTTATAGGACAGTAATTGTGAAAACACGATTTTCTTTTGAGGGAATAGAATAAGTAAAGCTGTCTTCCTGCCAGCCTGCTTGATGGCAATGCCGGACTGTAGATGATTTAGAACAGTCTCTTTCCATTTCGCTGGTCCTTGTCAGGAAAGCCACCTCAGGAGCTTCCTCTGAGGTTTTTGCTCAGAGGCCCAGCCCTTGGAGGTGAGCTGTGAGTGTGCATGTGGCCTGGACCCTGCCAACGCTCCAAGCCAGCCCACAGTTTCTTCTGTGTCCTTACCTCGAGGGAGCAGGACTTTTACATCCTTGTGGGTGTGGAAGCTTCCACTTCCAAAGATTTGTGTCCTGAGACTCTTTGAGCCCAACCAGAACAGGGGTTCTGTGGGGTTTTGAGAACCTCGGTGTCTTTGCTTGTTCATTTCCTCTGGAAGTGGTTAGCTTTCACAGGAAACTCCTCCTACTGGTATACATACGGAAGAGAAAGCCTCATCCTAACCCAGGAGAAGTATCTTCTTGAACTCTCTGGTGGGTTGGAGACTGTCCAGAAGGACTCCGATGAGGACAGGAGTCCCCCCTACTGCAACTGTGCCCCAAATAGGGGTCTTGATGGGAGCTCAGGCACTCCTGGGTGTGAGTTGGCAGGCAAAGGGGACCTCCCATGTGAAGGCTCCAACCTCACGCTGGCCCCCAAAGCTTTTCCCACCTTCCCGTCTTGGTGTCTTTTCCTGATATTCCTCTGCTTCTTCAGAGGGGAAGAAAGACAGAAAACCCACAAGAAGATACCATGACTCACGCACCAGGTGAGCGAGAATGAACAATACCAGCTCTGACAGTAGTGCCAAGTGGGCAAGGGATGCCAAGTGTCAGGAGCACTCGGGCACTGCTGCTGGGACCGTGACTTGGTGCAGGTGTCTCCCTTGGGTGACTGTTCCCAATGGAGAGACATGCTGGGCACAGACTCCAAGATGAACTTTCACAGAACGTTTGCCTCTTTGTCACAAGCAAAAACTGGAAAGCATGTAAGTGCCCATCAGCAGTAGAACAGAGAAATCAACTGTGCTGTATTCAGACATTGAAAGATCATATTGGAATGACAATTATTTAAGCATAGTTGGGTTGAATAATACGGGTGAATCGCATAAACATTATGGCGAGTGAAAGAAGAGACACACAAACTAACCTATACTGCATTATTCCATCCACATAAAGTCCCAAAATAGGCCAAGGGAAACTCTTGTTTGGCAAGCTTCTTTAGCAGGCAACAGTCTAAAGAAGAATGAGGACGTGATGATTGCAAAAATGCAGACAAGATGTGGAAAGAGGGCTGACTGAGCTGCCAAATGCTGACCCAGATGTTCACTGCAGAATTTCTCTTTACAGTGTAAAACATATTTCCTGTGCTTTATTTCAAGTAGCTTTATTGAAGTATAACTTACATATGAAAAGCATATTGTTTAAAGTGACAACATGGTACATTTTGGCACATATATACACCCGGGAAAGCACCACAATCAAGATGAGTGTAGGCATCACTCCAGAAAATTCCTTGTACCCCCTCTAAATCCCTTCTCTGCAGCACTCCAATCCCTGGGCAATCCCCCTCTGCTTTCTATCACTATATGATTGTTCTCTGCATTTTCTATAGTTTTATTAATATATCAATGGACTCACAATATAGACTTTTTTTTTCTCTTGGCTTCTTTCACTCAGCAAGATTACTTGGAGGTTCACCCAGGTGGCTGCATCTTTCAGTATTTCCTTCCTCTTTGTTGTTGAGCAGGATTCCCTTGTGTGACGGACCACAGTAGGCTCCTCATTCATACTCTGAAGGACATTTGAGATGTTTCCAGTTGGAACTGTTACAGTAAAGCCGCTCTGAACATAAAAATGCACAGTTTAATTTCAAGTTGAGAGAGCAGACTGCACGTCTGTACCTAATTCTGCCCTTCAGTAAACTACAGTCCAGAGACATTTGAGAGAAAAAAAACCATGAATCTCCACGAAACTGGAGGGCAGAGGCTAAGGCTCCAGCAATAACATTTTGTGAGCTGAGAAAACATGTGGGTGACAATACAGTATATTAACACATATATATGGAATTTAGAAAGATGGTAACGATGACCCTATATGTGAGACAGCGAAAGAGACACAGATGTAAAGAATAGACTTTTGGACTCTGTGGGAGAAGGCGAGGTTGGGATGACTTGAGAGAATAGCATTGAAACATGTATATTATCATCTGTGAAACAGATTGCCAGTCCGGGTTTGATGCATGAGACAGGGCACTCAGGGCTGGTGCACTGGGATGACCCTGAGAGATGGGATGGGGAGCGAGGTGGGAGGGAGGGTCAGGATGGGGAACACATGTACACCCATGGCTGATTCATGTGAATGAATGGCAAAAAGCACTACAATATTGTAAAGTAACTAGCCTCCAATTAAAATAAAGAAAGAAAGAAAAAAAACATGTGGGTGAGTGGAAACTAACTTAGCCAACAACAAAAGTCAGAGAATCAAGCAAGGGGTCAATGGGTTGTGAAATTCTACCTGGACAGGGTGAGATTCTTTTTCCTCTGTACCCAGATTGGGGCTCCTAAGCAGGGTTTACAAGTGTCTTCTCTGGAGAATCCAGATGGGACTGACCTTCCAATCACTTTCCCAGAATTGCAGGACAAGAACTGCCAAATTGAGAAGGCCTCACCAAGACTAGTCAAAGCAACACCCATGATGCTTTATTCAGAGCACTGAGGACAAAGGGAAGAGTCAACAAGTTTACAGAGAGAAGGGCCAGAAGTCACGAGAAAGACTCAAGATTCAGAAGTGCAACCCTTGAAACCAGAGCTAAGGCACAAATTCCTCAAGATGCCGGAGTAGAATCATTTCCAACCTCAAACTGTGTAAGTAGCCCAAATGTCCCTCCTGCCTACTCCTCTCAGAGACCTGAAGGTCAACCCAACAGAGGAAGGCGAGAACTACAGGAAACCAAAGTGCCAATGGGGGAGGAGCCCCCAGAGGAGGGTCAGGCCTAACTCCAGGTCCCAGGGCTGGAGGCAGCCAGCCTGGATGGGAAAAAAAAGTGTAAAAGATAGTCACGTGCGGTCCTGGGTCTCCACCCCAGCCCTGCCAGATGCCCAACCAGGAAGCCCTGTTTCCCAGTAGTTGCTCATGACCGTGCTTACTGGCGTCTCCGAAAGGGAGCTCCCTGAGAAGCAGAGGCCAGACCACAGCTCTGTCCAGCTTCCCATCTCTGGGGAGCCTGGACCCTTCTGTGATGACATGACAAAGATACTATTTCCTTCCTGCTTCAGATAACAAAGGCAATAGACAAGCAGGTGTGTCTTGGGAGTTTCTCTGTTGGGACAACTGATGTTCGAATGCCAAGGGTGGGTGCAGAACAAGGTGCAGCCTTGCCCCCATGGTGTGTACCTTTGGGTGGGGGGGAATGAAACTCAGCACGTCTCTCAATCCTGTAAAGTTGGGGAGAGATGGTACCCGGAGTAGGTGCAGAGCTCAGGTGTGGAGTGGGACGGTATAGCACAGAAGTGGCAATTGTAGGAGCTGTGGGTGGGGAGGACTTCTTCAAGCCCAGGACACTCGAGTGATTGCTTCCAATTTCCTTTGAAGCATACTCTGGGATCGCTTTTTGTCAATTTCTCCTTGGAACCAGGAAAATATGTCTTCCAGTAGTATACTCTGTTAGGTCCATACCTATGTCATGGAAGAGAGTTTTAGCTGACTGTGTGCTATTGTAAATATTTACAATGTTTCTGTAAATTATGGGGCTTTGACATTCTGGCTGGGGAAACATGGCCCTTACCTGGGCCATCCAATTTCCTGAGATAGCAAAGGGTCCAGGCAGGTGTATGCCTTAGATGTGCAAACCAATTTAGTGCCAGGCCTTCTGCATCTGTTTCGACAGCCTGGGGGGCAATATTCCTCCACCCTCATCATCCCAAAGCCAGCTGCTAGACTGCTAGCCAGCAACTAGAGACCCCCACCCCCAGCCCAAAGCTCGCCAAGACTAGCCAAAGCAGTCATTCGTCATCACCCTGTTCACAGCTATTCATCCTGTCCCGCCTTGCCCTCAGAGACCCCAATAACAGCCTTAACCTACAGCTTCTCCTGACTCCTGACCACCCTGGGGCTTCCCCATGTGGCCCCACAGGTCAAGCGTCCTATCTCTAGGACCCGAGAATGGAAGGCACTTTATTTTCCTGGGGTCCTGTCCCCTGTTGCTGCCTGAACCCACTGTATCAACCTTTAAGACTATGAAACACCAACTCAAAGCCTTTTCTCTGTCTTGCCCCAAGAAAAACGCAGTTATATTCCTGCCCATTTCTTCTTCAAGCATTTCCAGCAAATTGTGCTTTCTCTGCTTCAGTGAAAAGAAAGAAAGTAAAGTCGCTCAGTTGTGTCCAACTCTGCAACCCCATGGACTGTAGCTCAAGTGGAGCCCAAGGCTCTTCCGTCCATGGAATTTTCAAGGCAAGAGTACTGGAGAGGGTTGCCATTTCCTTCTCCAGGGGATCTTTCCGACTCAGGGATCAAACCCGGGTCTCCCACATTGCGGGCAGGCGCTTTAATAGCTGAGCCACCAGGGAATTCCAGGGAATCATCAGTCACAAAGGAAACTGCTTCAGTGAAGGGCTGCTCATAAAGATTCTTCACAGTGATTTCTTGATGGCAAAGTACTCTCCTCATTGACATGAAATGGTACTTTTTGGGTCCCACTTCATATTCTCTGAATTCTCCTTTGTCAGACACCAATATTCCTTTTTCTATTAATTTATGAAGGAGGCAGCTGAGAGTGCACACTTCTCTGAAGAGTACAGCCAAAGCACACGCTGTTTAAATGAACTGGTACATCTAAGGGGTGAACTGGCTGGGAGTGGTAAGCCCACGTGGTGGAGGGGCACCAGGGTCATCTTTGTAACTGCTTCAGGTGTAATCAGTCCGTTCTGGAAATGAGCAATTATCTGAAAGGAAACACTCTGTAGAAGGATGGTGAGTATGAAGTCCATGAATATCAGGAGCTGTTGCACCAAATGCAACATCCGTGTCTGGAAGGGTGACTTTATGGAAATACTTATTCAGAAAAAGAAATCTGGGTTAGAGGGAGAAGAGATGGGAGAAATTTCCAGTGGACTGACTTCCTTATCTTTCAAGAAGAGCTATAGCACAATGTTGTTCAATCAGGTAGTAAAGGTTCAACTATATTGTTTAATTATTATTTGACTATATTGTTTGATGATAATTATCGAATTATTATTATTATTGAAGACCCAGATTCCCCCACAGTCAGTCCCTCCCATCAGGAAGCTTCCACAAGCCTCTTATCCTTCTCCATCAGATGGCAGACATAATGAAAATCACACTCACAGAAAACTAACCAAGCTGATCACATGGATCACAGCCTTGTCTAACTCAATGAAACTATGAGCCATGCCATGTAGACGGGTCATGGTGGAGAGTCCTGACAAAACGTGGTCCACTGGAGAAGGGAATGGCAAACCACTTCAGTATTCTTGTCTTGAGAACCCCAGGAACAGTATGAAAAGGCAAAAAGATAAGACACTGAAAGATGAACTTCCCAGGTCGGTAGGTGCCCAATATATTACTGGAGATCAGTGGAGAAATAAATCCAGAAAGAATGAAGAGACAGAGCCAAAGTGAAAATAACGCCCAGTTGTGAATGTGACTGGTGATGGAAGTAAAGTTCGATGCTGTAAAGAACAATGTTGCATAGGAACCTGGAATGTTAGGTCCATGAATCAAAGTAAATTGGAAGTGGTCAAACAGG